CCTGCTGAGCGGAGGGAGCGAGCAGGATGGTAGGGGATTAGGAAGTCGTAGAGCTAGGGGGGAGCAAGACCATGGAGGGCTTTGAAGGTGAGGACCAGGATCTTGAACTGTATCCTCATTTCTGATAAGTGCCATGACTTTTTTTAACTTCCAACTGTGCAGGCAGATGGAAACATAGTTTAACGTCTCATATGAAAGAAGGCTCCTCTGAAAATGTAGCACTCCCCAAGCAATGCACTGGATTATCAGCCTATAAACTCAAATGGAGAAGTAGTAATGCCAATGTGAGGCTTAGATCTATACTCTTCTGAGCCAAACTGTTAACCCCTGATGAACGGACATAGTATCAGGACCTTTGTTCAAAGCTTTTTAACTGGATAATCCTTGCATTTGGTAAAGTGCCTTTCATGTTGGGAAGACGTCTCAAAGCACTTCACAGAATATATTTTAAAATGTAGTGACTGTTTTGTGGGTGAATGCGGCAACTAATTTGCAAACAATCAATGTCCGACAAATGGCCTTAAAGTGAATAACCAATTTTATTTGGGGGATTGTTGGCCAGGACCCTGGGAAAAACTCCCTTTTCTTTTTGAAAAGTGCTACACCATCTTTAACGTTCACTTGAAAGGGAAGATGGGACCTCGGTTTAACATCTCACCTGAAGGATGGCACTTTCAACAATGCAGTACACCCACAGTACCGAACTGGGAGTGTCAGCCTACACTATGTGAGTTCAAATCCCTACGTGGTGGTTGAGCCCACGGCCTTCTGCCTCAGAGGCGAGAGTGCTGCCAAGTGAACCAGGCCTACACACTTTGGGACACCAACATGCTGTCAGGTGGTTACACACATGCCAGATTGATTGTGGCATAGAAGGAGGTACCAGTTTCGATCCAGGAGGAAGAATTAGCACAGGCCACTTGTGAATTTGGCTGGCTCTAAACCAACACTGACAGGTGCGAGCAATGGGCCATGTAAGTCACACTCCACTGGGGAATGACGTGTGGCACTTAGGAGGAATCCCAAAGAGAAAAGAACAAATGTGTACATGCAAAATTAGTCTGGCTGCTACGTGCTCAGTTTAAAGAAGTCCCATCTTCCTGGGTCACCTCCCTTTTCTCTCCCTTTCACATGCACCTACAAAATACACTCAGAACAACAACAAATTGCATTTATTTGGTGCCTTGCATGTCGGGAGGACTACACTTTATTGTAAATCCTATGAAGCACCTGAAAATAATGATATAATAAGGCGTAAAATCAAGCCAAGGATTATTGCTATTATTCCCAAGAAGAGGAAAACTTCCCCCTTTATTCTTGCCTTCATGATCTTGTTTCCTGGGTAAAGTGAAATCCCACCGTCTTTCAAAAATCTGGTCAACGGGCGTATTGTTGGTTGCTGAATTGAGTGTAAGGACCTGCCATTTCTGGGTTACTGCAGAGTAAGCTGCTAATATAAATCATTTGGAAGCTGGTGCCCTCATAACGTTAGCGAATTTCACACTTGCGTCTTACGATAGTCGAACCCATTTATAACATAACTGTGGAATTGAATATTTAGCAATGACATTTTCTTGCATTTCTGTATCGGGTCTATTTTAATTTTACTGTACACCTCAAATATGTAAATACTTCCTACTGCCCACAACCTTTTTAATGTGAGCTGCTGGTTTTGATGATTTTCACTTCTCTCTGGAAGATTTAATCTGCCATCTTGAAAATCCCATTAATGGAGATTAAGGTTGGAAACTGGGTAACTCCAGCCCCACGAATAAAGTGTTTGAATGCCAAAAATGGCCCTATTATTGCCATTTCTTTCCAAGCTGTCAATTTGAATTTATATTTGCAGTGCAAATGAGTCAGAGGTAGAAATTCCAGCTAACACTTTTTTTAAAAAAAAGATTTTGAATAGTGCATTGACTGAAGCAGCACTGAGGACTGAATGTAACATAGGAATTGGATTCCTTGCTCTAACCTCTTCATAAATGATTCAGTGAGGCTGTTGAATAACAAAAGTATTAAACATACTAAAACCTCATATGAGTGAATGGTGTGTGTTTGAGAGAGATGGTTCCCTCTGAGTTTTTAGGGGTTTTTTAATGTGTGTTGGGAGTGGGATTTGACACTGACATTCGGTCTGGTTGCTTGAGCCTTGACTCACCTGCAGCAACAGTTGGAATGTCAAGTTCAGAGGAATTTAGTGTTTCCATATTTTGCTTCTGCTAAAGAAACTGGAGCATGTTGGGATACTGTGTCAGAGGTCTCAGTGTACACCAGAATCTTGGCTGAGTAAAGTATCTTTATGTGTGAAGTAGGGGAAAAGTGTTGGCAGGTTATAATAATCCATGCTTTTGATATAGAGCTTTATCATGCTCTGATATCATGCCTTATCAAACACAGTGTGAAGTGTAGTTGCAGGTGAAACACGGCAACAAATTGTGCATGGCAATGTCCACAAACAGTGAATGACCAATTTTTTATCTCAGGATTGTTGGGATCATGGGATGTTTAATGCTCACTTGAATAGGCATATGGGACTTTGTTTTAACGTCTCATCCAGAGGATAGAACCTTCAACAATGCAGCGCACACCAAAACTATATTGAAGTGACAGCATAGATTATGCAAGTTTAAGGTACCAATGTGGGGATTGTATCCATAATCTTCTGACTCAGAGGTGAGAGTACTACCAACTGAGCCAGGGTGACATACAGTGGGTCAGATAGCCCGCTTATATGTTAAAGATTTATCTGATGCATGTTGACATGAGGACAGTTCCTGGAGACCCTCAAACCCATGGTGTAACAGGAAGCTCGATGTCTTGGAGCTTTTATTTGTTGTTGTTTGCTCTGGCCTCAAATCCTCAACTGTAATTTGTTCAGGGCCGGCTGTGCTTTGCTCTGTGCCTTTTCCCCAATGCAATGCATTCCTTTATGCTGAAGGTGATCTGTCTTTTTTTGCCGCTCTTCATTACAGCTCTTGTTTTGTCATTTGTGTTAATTGCTTCTCATGTTGCTATGGCTATAACAATACCTGCAGATACCATCTGGGCTCAATTTATTGAAACCAAAAGCTGAGCTGCCCCTAGTTGTATGTACTCTCAATGGACGTATTTGGTTAATGCTTCCAAATTTTATGAACAAACATTGTTGCCATGGAATCAGTAATTTCATCAGTAATAGCTGAGATTAACATGCAGGGGATTGAACACAGTGAGTGGGGACAATAGATATTTTAAAGCAGTGTCGCGGGAGTAAGGATTCATGCCATGCACTGTTGAAGCAGTTTCAAAGGCTTCCTTGCACAAATCGATATAAACACCTCCAAATATATAAGGAGAGTACCTACTTCCTCTTTGAACGGTCAGGATCCCTCTCTCCTTTCCTAGGTGTCAAACTCCGTTCATGTTAAGCACTCCGCCATGAAGTGAATGCCTGATTTTATTTGGGAGCTTGTTTGCCAGGACACCAGGAGAAACTCCCTTCTCTTTTCAAGTAGTACCATGAGACCTGAACATGCATACAGATCCTCAGTATAACATCTCATCTGAGGTACAGAATGTTGTCTTATTGCTGGATGGTTTGCAGGGTGAAGTCTCACTTAAGTTTCCAGTTGGTTGGGATAGTGTAGGGAAAGGTTTATCCTGTACCTGACTGGTTGCCTGGACTGGTTGTGACGGGTGCTGATTATCACCTAGATGAGTGGAGCACGTTACGGGGGGGAAACACACTCTTTAATATTGGATGAAATCTTAAAAACTGAATTTCTGTGGAAAAGAAAGCCATCACAACTCTGTTTGTACATGCGTATCTCTCTCTCACTCTCTCTCTCTGTCTTGCTGTGCTTCTCTATGTCTCTATTTCTCTCATTGAGCTGCTTTCTGTTTCCTTTCTCTGCTCTTTCTCTCACACACACACATACACACATTCTCTAAATCACTTGGATCAGAAATACGAGTTACCGAGTAGAAGGTTACAGAACTTAGAGAATAACATTAAGTCTATTTGATGACTTTACGAGGATGATACCGGGGATAATAGACTATAGTTATGAGGAGAGAATGGAGAAGTCGGGTCTGTTTTCTTGACTATTTGGAGTAGAGAAGGTTGCCATGGGGCCTGATATAGGTGTAGAAAATTTGGTGAAATTTTGGGCCTCAGGTGCTGTCTCAGGGGGTTGGAAATGACCACCCCAACAACCCACCCTGTTGGAAATTATGTGAAGTTAACCTTTACAAGATGCAGGAACGCAAAGCCTTCATTTGCAACATCTAAGAAATATCAGTTCTGCTAAATGTTCTGCTGTGCATGTGTGACGCAATGGTGATTTTTTTTCTACTGCTGTCTCTGCCTTTGTTCTCTTTGCTTTCAGAAAGATTAATTTTTGGCTCACCTGCACTGTTGGGTTTCAAAGGGATCAAATCTAAGTGACATGGCATACGACTTGTGTTTTGGTGGTGTCCTCCTCAATTTCTCTATTTATTATCTATTTCTGGTTCTATAGGAGCTGGACACCCTCCAGTATCTTGTCCAAGTGGCTGTTCTTAGCAAATGAGTGTCAAAAGTTTATTTGACTTGGGAGGATATTGCAGCCAAGCCAAGATCTTGCACTTACCCAGAGGTTCACAATTTCCAGCATGATTTGAGTTTTCCAGCTCAGATTGAGAAATCCTGGCTAATTTTTGACCATTTTCTTGCCCCTTCCACTCATTCTCCCCCCCCCCCCCACTGTTTGTGCTAGCACTGGAGCGAACATTGAGGCCAGAATGTCACCAATTGGTGCTCAAGCTGAAACCCCCTTACTCTGCTTGCACTTGGGACTAGAGGCTGTTGAGTACTTGAGTACTGGTTCTGAGTAGCTCTGTCTTTGCCAACAAAGCCTGTCAGGCTGTGCCACATGCTTTTGAAAGTACCTCCATTTAATGTTTTACACTAAATATAAAAGTCTTTTTAATAATTTTCTGTGCACAAGTTCTTACCATGTCCTGATGTTTCTTTCCAGAGGTGACGCTCAGGGTCCACGTGAGTGATTCAAGTACTCATCAGCCTCTGGCTAAAGCCTTCATTGAGATTTTTACCAACCAGACCTCCTTTGCCTCAGGATATTCAGGAGCAGACGGGGTGGCCTTCATCAAGTTTGACTACACGCTCGGAACGCCACTGCTCATCGCTGCAACACAACGTGGTTTCCTGCCAAATTCCTCGCCATGGCAAGCCACCAAACCACCCTGTGAGTGTGTCAACTTTACCAACAGCGAAATAATTCTTGTATTTTTTTTTCTTTCCCTCTGCAGAAATGGAAAGTTTGTTTTGAGGGGAGGAAGGGAAGAAAATGGGGATCGCGTGGGTTACAGGGAAGTACATTGTGCAAATGCACCGACCGGGTGGTGCGGTGAATGGAAGGCAGGAAATGTACCCTCCTCAAACACACATGATTCCCGTTGTGTCTTCTTATTGGAAGCAGTTGTTGTGGGTTAGAAACATGGAGACGCTTGTTTAGTAGATGAAACATTCTCCTGTCTTTAGCTCTGCTCACTCAAGGCCTCAAATTGGATGAAATGAGTGTAGGCGTCAGGGAAGCTGCTACACAGCAGCAAAAATGAACACAAATCATTCACATTGATTCATATATCTAGATAGCCTAAAGTGGTCATTTAAAATACCCAAGTGGGGATCATGATTGAAAATAGGAAAAGGTCCTCCAGACATCATTTCTCATTAGAAGAAACTTAGCATTGATGTGGTTCCTATTAAGGTATTGCTCCAATATGAGTTCAGTTTTGTGCAGATGTTTCAAACTGAACACTAATCACATCTGGAGTGCTGTAGCTCAGTGGTTAGAGCACTCACCTCACAAGTGAGAAACCTGGGTTCAATACCTGGCAGGGCAAAACCTTGGGCAAGTTTCCTTACTCCACATGCCTGATGATAATCCCTCAAGAAAAAAATAATAAATTGGTCACTTCAATCCACGACCGTTTGTGGGACACTGCTGTGCGCAATTGGCTGCCGCGTTTGCCCACAAATATACAATCAATTCACTTTACAGTGTGTTCTGTGAAGCGCTTTGGGACGTCCTCCTGACGTGAAAAGCGCTATATCAAATGCAAGGATTATTATTATTATATTCTGTGAAGTGCTTTCAGTAAGTCAAGAAGACGTGAAAAAGCACTATATCAAATGCAAGGATTATTATTTATTATATCTGTAGGTAACATGTCCTGTTACAGTATTTGATCCAATCACATCAATCACCTCACTTTGTGACTTTTTCGGGACATACAGTGGGCAAATTCGCTGCGAACACATTCTCTACACTGTACAATAATTCCTGTGAAGTGCTTTGAGATGTCTTGATGATATAGTGCTACTTCAAATGCAAGGATTATTATTATAATTGAAGCATTGATATGTATAACGTGAAGGTTTATTGATGCACCAGAGTTTATTTTGTGCTGAAATATGAGTAGCTGGTTCTGTTCTGAAGGTTATGATGGGAATTCATGTCTATCTACATGACAGCTGTTAATTTGGTTTTGGTATTAAATTTACAGATGCTTTAAATTAAAATGGACCATATAAACAATGCAGTTTAGTTTGCCTTCTGGTCACTGCACAGGAAAGATTGAATATAAGTTGCTGCGTTAGACCAGCTGCAAATTAGATTGATTTGAATTGTTGGTAGAATTCTGTTCTCTAGTGTTAGGAGCGAGAGAAAGAATTGATTATGGAATAATAGCTAATCATTATGCAGTGCCTTTGCCACCTACAGAGCAGGGAATTGTACAGCACCACAGAACAGTAGTTATTTTATGTATACTTGTACATCTGGTTACAAAACCTAACATCCCATGTACAAAAAGGCTTCACAGTTGTGCTATCTGCAGCACCACAAGAGAGAAAGCAGAAAGGAAGAGCAGAATTGAGAAATGAAAAGAATCACTTCAGGTAGAGAGGAGGTGATTTGTTGGTGTAGATAGGGGGTGATTGCTGTGTAAATTGGCTGCCATGTTTAGAGGAGGACATTTTCTCCAGTCGTTAGGTAGAGTGAAGTTAGTGGAGGTGATTTGCATGTGTGGAAATTTGCTACCGTGTTTGTATACAAAATAAGTAGTCACTACAATTTACTGAAAATGCAGGGATTATTGCTCTCTCGACATGGAAGGCAGCTATATAAATGTAAATTTGTTGTTGAAACCTATGAAATATTTTATATCACCCGAGATGGGGGTGGGAACCGAGGAGGGTGGGGAGGGAACAGGTGACCGAAGAAACGGTCAAAGATAGACCTTGAAAGAGATAAGTGAGGGGATCAGTCTGCGGGTCTCCAGGATACATTTCCAGAGTAGGAGCAGATAGGCTAAAAGCCTAACTGCCGAAGATGGGGTGAGTTGGGTGGGGGGGTATGTGGCAGGCTGGGGCCTGCTTTAAGGAGCAGCCAGATTTGGATGGTTTGAGGAGTAAAGTGAATTGATTGTATATTTTGTAGACAAAACGCGTCATCAATTGCGCACAGTAGTGTCCTGAAATAGTCATGGATTGAGTGACCACATGTTTTTTGAGGGTTTATAACCCCTGGAAAGCAATCTGCCGTTCGACTAATTAACGACCGGGTTCCAACTTACTGCTAGGTAAACAGAGGCATATGGAGTAAGAAAACTTTCCTAAGGTTTTGCCCCGCTCAGCAATCAAACCCAGGTCCTTTAGCTTGCGAGGCGAGTGGTCTAATCAGTTCGCTACAGGATTCCATTTCATATATCGAATGCAAGGGTTATTATCAATATCAAAACAATAAGTGATACGGATAAAGTAACACACTAATTCAAAGTAATTGAAGAAAGGAGGAGTAATGTAAAAAGTTTTTTTTAAATATGAGAGCATACACATGAAAAGTATCTTACAATGTTTAAAGTTTGGAATCTATGAAGCAAGGTAATGCCGTCAAAAAAGATTAGGATTATTCAAAGTACAATTAGATGCAATGATCAGAGAGTTAATAATAATAATAATAATAATAATGTACCAGAAGGGGGAACGTCACTGGGCTGAATGACCTTTTCATGTCCATGATTGCTCTAGTGTTCTGGTCTTTCCAGATCTCATGAGTAGAAGCACCATATTAATGTTACTGTGATGGACAGCCTGCCAGAAGCCTGCTGGCCACAGTGCATTTCTTGCATGAGTCATGTCAGTCACTAAATATCAAGAGACATGCGCTATTGGTGATCAGGCAGGGGTGGGGGCAAAGGGGGAGTAGAAGGAGAAACAGCATCCTGAGATTGACACATGTCCTATAACATTTCTTTCCAATGCATTGATGGTCCGAATTAAGCATATAAATACAGTAGCTTGAAATGCCCGAGTGAATTCATTCAGTGAGCTACTGAGCCATACAGACAAAGAAGGTATCAGGTTCAATCTCCCCAATCTGTGCTGAAATTGCACATATAAAGCAAGGTGACACTAACAAGCCCTTGGGTTCAGCCAGTGTTTCAGTTTCTGCTGCTATCCAGTAATCAGGATATTTTTAATTCAGTTTAGGCTGACACTCCAATTCAGTGCTGAGGGTATACTGCATTGTTAGAGATGCCATCCTTTGGATGATCCGTTAAAGTGAGGCCCCATCTGCTTGTTCATGGGGATTAAAGATTCCATGGCGCTATTTGAAAAGAGAATGGAGTTTCTTCTGCCATCCTGACCAACCATTCCCCCAAATAAAATTGCTTGTTCACTTCATGACTGTGTTACATTTTTGTGTTAAATTGGCTGCCACCTTTGCATACCATTGTACAGTTACTGCAATTCACAGTAAAATCCTGCGAAGCATTTTGAGACATCTGAATGATAATGATGAGGTGCTATATCAAATCCATGGATTATTATGGGATAATATTCTGCTGGAAAGAACATGTGTGTAAATATTGAGATTGGGGCTGAGCTTTGATCCCTCCCAAATCTCCCGCTGATGTTTCCTGTCTAATCTCACAAAGAAAGACTGACCACTCGACACTGAATGTTTGAGGTTTAGTGGTTAGTTACAGCCATTATTGAGTTGTCGGCTTGCAGAGATCCAGGAAGTGATCGGTGAAGAATGAGTTTGAGGTCAGTGTGGGATTCAAGCTTCAGGAAACCTTGGTATTTGGTGAACTCTTCATAGCTAGGTGTTTGATGAACTTTTCTTCAAAAAGTTGTTATATCCCACAGTTGTTATATTGTAATCTTTATAAAACAAGTGACGCTTATTTAAATCTATTCAAACTAATTTTAGCTTAGGGTTAGGCTCCACTGGCTCCATCTCCCAGCAGATTGATTTCAAGATGCTTATCCTCGCCTACAAATCCCCTCACATCCTTGGCCCTTACCTTTTTGACCATGCCTATCAACATTTTCCCCCACACCCACTGCTTGGTATCCTTTACCATCTCTGTGTTTCAAACATTCAAATTGTGTGAATGTATGTTGTTGTTGCTGTTATTTCACCGACAAAATACATAGTCAATTCACTTTACAATATGTTCTATGAAACGCTTTGCATCATCTCAACAATGTGTTAAGGCGCTATCAAATGTAAAGATTATTATTGTTGATGCCCATCTCATTGCCAGCCCATAGGGGAGATTGTTTCGTGTTGAGTGACTTGACACATTCATTTACTGAGATCTAATGTTGGGTTTGGTTTCTTTTCAAATTAAAAGAAATAATGACAGAATTTACAAGTAATTGATACACTAAGATGCTTAAGTTTTCATTTAATTTGAATCAAAACTGTTATTATGTTACCATGGAACCATAGAAATGTAGAAAGCACAGAAGAAGGTCATTCACCTGTTGTGCCAGTGCCGGCTCTTTTAAAGAGAAATTCTTGAAGGGTGTTATATAACAACAACAATTAACAACAAAATTACATTTATAGAGCTCCTTTCATGTTGGGAAGACGTCCCAAGGCGCTGGGCGATATATTGCGATATAAATACAAGTTATTCTTGTTGTTGCATTTTCTTTTTTCAAGCTAATATAGATTCTGCCTCAACCACTACTTCTGAGAGGCCATTTTCTAACAAGTCTGTGTGTGAAAAAATATTCTCCTAATCTCCCTATTTGCTAGCTATCTGAAATTAATACCCTCTTGTTACTGACTCACTGATCAATGGAAATAATTTCTGCCTACTGACGATCAGAAAATATTTTAAAGACATCTCTCTGGTCACTCATCAAGCTTCTTTGTTTCGGCAGAAAAAGTCCTAGTTCCTCCAGTCTCTGGTGCAATGGGATCTGTAATGTCCACCTGAAAAGGGACTTGGTTTACCGTATCATCCAAAGGATGGCACCTCTAGCATTGCAGCACACCCCCAGCACTATATTGGAGTATCAGCCTAGACTATGTGAATTTAAAGTCCTGACATGGGGCTTGAACCCACAACCTTCTGACTCAGAGGTGAGAGTGTTACCCACTGAGCCAGGCTGACACACATTGTCAAGGGAAGAGGGCATAGGTGAGTAAAAATATTCTTTGTAGGGGCAGGGGGGGTGGGGGGTAAAGCTCAGTTAAAAGGTCTGTCCGGTTTAAGACAGGTAATCGTCAGTAAGCATAACTGATGGGTCCATTGGGCAATCAGAAGTGAGGACGCCCCGACGAACAGCCTGTCGGAACAGAATTGGGTGGGCGACGACGACAAGTTGGGAAATGGGCAAGTGGGGACCCGGGGGTGCCGCAGGTTGGGGCTGCTCGGAGGACTGGCTGCTGTGGCCGTCCACAGAGCTCAGGGCTCCCTTTACCAGCTCCCCTTAAAGAAGTGAGCTGTAGATAGATTTGGGAGGAGCGGGCTGATCTCTACTTAACCCTAGCCACCTGCCACCTACGGAAGAGGGTGAGGAGGGATGCTACTGTGCGTTGGTTAGAATGGTCCAATAGATGACAGGGAGACTGGAAAGACTAGGAAATGATGACCTTGTAGTCTGTATCATTAAAAATTAATCAGGTGGTAAAATGAATGCACCGGCTGAAAAGGACACATGTGGTGCTGTGTGCTGTTGTGGTTATTGCCAGCTGTCCATGACACTGCGGTCAGTGCCCTTTCAACCAGTTGCAAATTTGCAGGATTGTGTGAAACATTTAAGAATGAATCACAGAATGAACAGATAAAGACAAATTGTATACTCTATGGGCATTTGACCCACAAACTTTACAATCGATTCACTTTACTGTTTATCCTGTAAATCGTGATAAGGCACTATATCAAATGCAAGGATTTATTGTTATGCAATTTAAGATAGTACTTTCATCTTTCATTATTCATGTGAGTGATCTAAAATCTATGGAGTGAAAGTTTATAGGTTTTCTATACAATCACCCAGCTTATGCATAATACCTGCTGTATCAAGGCACTTTTAAACAGTTTTTCACTCTTTTGACTGGAATTAATGTGGATTTTTTCTCTCTCTTAGTGTTTTCATCATTGAGCCTGCTTCTACAGCCTGAACGGTCAGCAACCCTGATGGTGTATGAAGACATTGTTCAGATTGTCTCAGGAATTCAGGGTACGTACTTGGTGTCTTGAAACAAATAAATGTCTTTGCTGAATTCACTTAACAGACTCGGTGAAAATTGCCATATTTGATTTTAATTTGAATGGTGCTGATTAACCCACTGCTAGAGTTTAACCAGAAAACTATGTGGGTTTAGCTGCTAAAACTCCAGCAGTACCCCAACATACACTCTGGGGCCCCCAAGCCTTGGCTCTTGCCAAACTGCACCTAAAACTGTCTGGAATTAGATAAGCACAAAGCGTCCCTCCAGAGATAGAGTTGAGCATTCAGTTCTGAACACATAAATTTACATGTGCAGCTGGCATTGCATGAAACTCTGGTTTGGATACTCTTAAACATGTGATGGATTTCCTCATGTGTCAGACACCCCGGCTGACAAAATAACTCCCACGTGTTCCTTATTACAAAGAGTGTCAGAGGGAGAGCGAGTTCACTGCCAGCGCACCTGTGCCCTGTGTAAATTATAGTTGGGAGTCACTTTTTTTTCAATGAAGCATAACATAGCATCATTAGGTGTTTATAAATACTTTATTTACTGCAATTTTCATCCCAGTACGAATTGCCTTATCTTTCTAAACCTGTGAGTCAGAATTTCAATGACTGTATCTTACTGGAATTTGTACTCCCAAGATTTCCGTGTGTATTGCCTGTTGAATCAGGATTGTTGGAGAATATACATTATATTAAGGGAAATCTATTAATCGCCCATTGATGCCTCAATACAATTATCTTTGAATTTCTGTGTGCTTCCAGTAACCAATTTAATGAGACATCTGTTTTTGATATCATGGTGCCTGGCAGAAGCTTCTCACGGGACCTAATAGTCGAAAACAATATCTCGATTAGTCATTTTACAAGAGTGAGCTATCTAAATTGGCATGAAATATTACTTATAATGAAAGGGTTGGCTACTTTCAGTTTAATTGGTCTCAAAATTCTGCTTGTCATTTTTATATGGCAAACACACCACCCCTTTGCTCAGCTGGCACAGCCTGCTGCATATCCTCGGACCCCTCCACACCACAATTGGTGCCGTGCCTTTGGTCACTGTGTTCCTAACCTCTAACTCTCTGGCTCAATCCCTCCCCTCGTCCCCTCTTTACCCTTAAATCCCACTTGAAGACTTACCACTTTGACCGTGCCTATAGTCACTTTCCCCTCTCCCTTGCTCAGCATCCAAACCCACAATTATGCAGCAGTCCAACAAGCTATCCTACATGAAGGTGCTGTATGACTCCTGCTGTTGTTAAGATCTCAAAATGAATTGGATTTCTTAAAATTCAATTATTTTAAAATCACTAATCGTGTGTTTAACCATCTCCGAACAGCAATTAACTTCCCATATTGTCATATTCTGTAATACATCCTGATGTCATATTACTTTACATATTGAGCAGATTGTCTGCAAATACAGTCACTGCACTTTACAGTAAGATCCTGTAACGCGCTTTGAGATATCTTCCCGAGTTGACAAGCACTATAATAATGCAAAAATTGTTATTATTAATTTGTCTTTTCAAAGCAAAGCCAATTTGTTGGCATCATGAAAATACCAGACCAGTATCATTATCTCTTTGATGAAATTGCTTTTGAAGTTACCAGGCGGCATTACTGCTGTTCTACCTTACATGAAAGTCACAGATAGAAACATCAGTGGCTCATATGAAAAAAGTAAAGAAACTGGTTTGGAAAATGGCATGGGCATTAATTGAGATAAAACAATAACAATAGTTGCATTTTATATAGCTCCTTATCACATTCCAAATATCTCAAAGCGCTCAACACATTAAGCTACTTCAAAATACAATGACATGTATGCAGGCGAGGCACACATTTGTGTCAGTAACTTGTACTTTCAGAGCAGCGTCCCCATGGGTTGGCGTGTGGCGTGACATGTGTGATGCACTGGAACATGTGCACAGGTTACTGGAAGGAGTCCCAACTCTGATTTCTTAGTCATAGAATCGTTTCTGAAGATGCCGTGTTTTACATCCCATTTTTTTTTAAAAAACACCTGATGCACCATTTTTAAACAAAAGCTATTTAGATTGAAGAGTTGTACAATTTAAAGCCAAATAATTACTAGTTCTAAATGAGGTTCATTATACTTAGTTTGGACAGAGGATTCTGTGGGTGTAAAAGATTCTGTTTTGAGAAGGAAATAGTTGATTCACCTCAGTTAACGTGGAGCAAATCCAATGTGTCTTCTTGACTTAGCTTTCACTAGCTGTATTACTGTATCAGAAGGAACTCAAGTAATTATCTACATCTTTTGTAAAATTCTGTTAAAATGTAATCAGGATTTTAAACTTTGTGCTTAAAAGCTATTGAGGAGGACGAGGATTTCTGTTTCCATCACTGATCTTCAGTTGCATGGTAGTTTTTTTTTTAAACATGACAGCTGGTCGCTACACTTTTCCTTTTGACTCGCCCAAGGAGAGTGTAGACAAATGGCTCACATATCCCACTGTGCCTTTAGATGGCTGGCCATAGGCAGAAGACCTCCTAGTATCCTACATCCTGTTCTTATGTCCTCCACCTGGTAGCACCAGAGGACATGTTGATTCAGAGCAGATCAATCAATGTTGGACAGTTGTACAGAGCTATTATTTCACCCATGCACAGTTGTGGATATTATTGTACTGGTTGTCAAAGCAATTTTATGTCCAATTTATAGTCCATTATTCTAATGTTTCAAATGCAGGAAAGAAAATAGTTTGTGTGCAACACTATATTTGGAGACAATTTAGTGTTTGTGCACAATTTAATACTACGCTGACCAGAGTGCATGAAAGGATTATTCCGCATTACATATTTGAAGTGCAGTATTTACTAAAATTGTTCTCAAGCAGAATCTGATGTTTCAATAACTCCTCGAAAAGTGAACGTTTAACAGAAATAAATGACTGATGCTGCGCTTACATTATTATTGATTGTCAGGCAGTGTTGAGTAAGCAGAAAGGTTGAGCAGTATCAATGCAAGCATGCTCAGATTAGCATGCAAAGCTCCTAGGAATAGTGGCAATTGATTCTACAGGCTGGCTTTGCAAGCAGAGTGGTGGGACGGGGAAGAGAGAGGATTTTAATATGTGCGACAGTGAAAATGGACGTCCAAATATATTGGAAACTAGCGGCAGCAAATGATGCCAAAAAGAACATTTGTGTTTTGTGTAACTAGATCAAATTAGCTCCACCGTGCACTTTGATTTTGAATGGTATCTGTACTGAGAACCACATATTGATGGCACTATCTTTCTGACCATATCCATTTGGTTCTCTCTGGAGTACGTCTTTTTAATAATCATTATTAAACAAGAAAATGCAGGGATTAGGAGACTGTTTCTTCGCACAGAGTTGTTAAGGTCTGGAATACCCTGCCGGGAGCGGTGGTTGTGGCAGAATCCATATTGGCTTTCAAAAGGAATCAAGATAAATACCTTTAAAAAAAGTAAACTACAGGGGTCTGGGGAAAGGGTAGGTAAATGTGACTGACAGATTGTTCTTGAAAAAGAGCCAGCACAGGCTCGTTGGGTTGAATGGCTGTGAAATGTTCTGTGCTGTAAATTTCTATAGTTTTGGCGTTACAGATGAAGTTGTGAAGCCACCCCCTGAATAATATGCCTATGAATTAGGGTTAGAAATAGCAAATGGATAATAAAGCAAGTGAGAAATTTGCCTCCAAACTTCCCAGCTGTTTTTCTTAGTATTATAGTCAATGGATCTGAATATAGCCTTATTAGTGCACAAATGTGGATGCCTCTTGGTCATTTTATCTTTTATAACCTGAAAGTTAAAGAGTTGGTGACTATTTGTGCAATGGGTTTATTTGGTGATCATGCTGAGACATGGCGTGGTGCATTGTTCATTGCTTATGTTTTGTGGTGTGACGTCTGAGGCTCTGTCCATATGTGTGGCCTCCCAGTGTGTGCTGTTTCAGAGTAGAAGTGCTTCATTAATACCTGTGCTTTATATTAATCCATTCACAGGCGCTTTAATACAGCCGAGCGTCCAGTTCCAGAGACGGTTACTAAGCTTGCCAAAGAACTCAACCTATAGAAACCTGACTGCTTTTCTAACAGTGGCCGTTACCCCTTGGGAGGTTGGCAGCTTCCCATATCTCCAAGGAATCAATGTAAATCGTACAGGTAAGACACTAAAGATACTAATGTAAATGTAGCAATAAAGTGCTGTGTTATCCTATGGATCAGCGCTATTAAATTATTCTCATACTTCAGGAACACTAATAATATAATAATATCATTTAATATAATAATCCTTGCATTTGATATAGCAGCTTATCAAAACAACTTGCATTTATATAGCATCTTTCAGGTAGGGTAATGTCTCTAAGTACTGCACAGAGATTGTTGCCAGATGCAAAGGAAAATAGGGAAGGGGAGGTGACCATAGCCTAGTTGAAGGGTTAGGTTTTTAGGCATGATTTAAAGATGGATGGAGAAAGGGAAGGCAGAGGGGTGAAAGGAGGGAGTTCCAAAGAGAGGTGCACGTAGCTGAAGACTCGGCCAATGATTGTTGGGTAGAGGGAGTCAGTTTGCCAAACAGAGTGGGATAGGCAAAAGGTCACAGAGATAAGGAGGTGCTAAGGTGTGAAGACATTTATAGGTGAATGTGAGGAAATGAAAATCGATACTTAGGAGTCAGCAAGTAATGGAGCCTGATGAGAACTGGAATGATGGGCGTGTGTAGTTTAATGCAGGTGAGGATGTGTGCGGTGGAGTTTTGAATGAGCTGGATTTGTGGATGGTAGAACTAGCGAGTACAATGGCGATTTCAAGTCAGGAGGTAACGCAGGTGTGAATGAGGGTTTTGGTGCTGTTTTGCGTGAGGATGCTGTTTCACCCAACATCACTGAAATTTTAATATCCTCTTTTACGTTAGTGAGGAGTGGAAATTTCTCCACTGTGAGGAGCAGTGGTTTATCATTTTTAAACTAGATGTATCTTAAAATGAAGGTTTTCAGGAGGAGGAGGAAACAATTGTTGGGTAGGTGAAAAAACAAGATAAAATGGGTCAAAGCACATTCTTTGATGGTGTTTTCAGCCATCCCCAGCACCCCCATCCCCTGGCTTGGATGTAAACCCTGGACTATCTAGCACCTTGGGATGCTGTCAACAACAACAACAACTTGGATTTATATAGCGCCCTCCACGCCGGATGGCGTCTCAGAGCGCTTTACAGTAACGGATCCCGGGGCCGAGCCAGGGGGAGTGGGAGGAAGGTGACCAAAGGCGCGGTCGAAAAGAAAGGTCTTTCCCACACTGTCCCACACTAAGAAGCACTGTATTATAATTTGATATTGTATCATAGTACAGTCAAGTTGTCATTTATGGTGCCCCAGAAAGCAGGAATGGTGGAGCAAATAATTAGGTTACATCTCTGAGTTAGAAAAGATAGGGTCTAATTTGCGTTTTTTCTTAATGGGATTCCTAAGCACAGGCCTGACAGAATTCCCATCTACTCTATTCCAGAGATTGAATTGGAGTTCCAGGTCAGTATGAGACATGCCTCCATTTATCAGACGGAATGCCCTTACTCCTGGTTTGGAAATCCTGTAAAGGATTATCCCGAATTAGGCCCTGAGTTCTTAATCATGTTTTCCAAGTTAAATGTTTTTAGTGTATAATTCCTAACATCGGATTGTCTGTAGGTTCATAAAAACATCAAAGATTATATTCAGCAGGTATTGATCATGTTTTTACAAAAAATACATGGATGCTTTTCATAAGTAATTATATATTTGTTGAAAAACTAGACTCATTGCTATTGATGGCAATTCATCTGTTAAGCATCAGAAATTTGACGATATGATCAGGCGCTATGTCAAATGCAAGTATTAATATTATTGTTATTATTGGCTTGGGGCTGGAGGCTTCTGAGGTTGGATTCTGGTGCATTCACTTATCACCACACTCTTTTGTGATCAATAAAATGTCTAAATATATCCTTACTGGAGGGAGGGAAGATGGCCTGGGACCGGGCTGGCTTTGAGCAGACAGGCCTGGCAAAGGCATTTCCTGACTAAACTAGTTTGTTTGTGGAGTGGAGCAGGTGTACTTCTGTGAAAGAAGAGAACAATGGGGATAGTGCTTGGGGACGGTACACTATGTGAGGGTCGTTATATAAATGCAAGTTGTTGTTATTGAAAGTTGCATGTTGTGGCCCTGGCGAGAGAATTTCAATGCAGCCTTGTCGAGCACCTTGTTTCTACTTATTGTATAGAATGAAGATGGTTTGACTACCCACACTATTGGAAACTTACTTGACCAACGTAAAAGTTTAGCAGCCAGCAAAATGTTTAAGCCCACTCTTTAGAGCTGAACCGCCAGTGAGGTCCTGATGTGATCACCTGCTGAAATCAAGTTAAATACAGTCCCTTTTAACTATTTTTGTCAAAAACGATGCCTACGTTTTGGATGATTCTAATATGTTTAAACAGACCATTTACATTCAGTTTTAAGAGATTTTAGCGATCTGGTTTAAATAGCCTAACTAATATGAAAACCACACACATCAAAGATATTCGATGTTGTACTTGGCAGTAATATCAAAGCAAAAGCACATTGCCTTCTCTGGACAAGGCTGATATACATCTGACATTTTTGACTAGCACAACTCGTAGAGTTTTCTGGCATTCTCCCATCTCTGCTGGCAAAGCTGGCGCCCTGGCCAGAAGTCCGTCAAACAACACTGGTTACTCTCTTCATAGCTGTTTGCGGGACATTGCTGTATGCAAAATGGCTGTCATATTCGCCTACAAAATACACAAGCGCTACACTTTACAGCATATCCTTTGTACAGCTTTAAGACGTTTTCCTGACATGAAAGGCACCCTATCAAATTTGAGGATTTTATTTTAAATTATTTTACATTTTATTTTAACTTATTATAAATTCATTTTAAGATCTCTTCATGATGCTTTTTTCAAAAAAAGTCATATGTCTGTTGTGAATGACTCATTTTGATGAATAGCTCAGTATTAATTTGTTTCTTCATTTTATGTCTTAACAAAACCTACCTGAAGAGGAATAAAACAAAAGTGATAGAAATCTGCACAGATCTAGTAATTGTAAAAATGCAGCAACAGATTTCCATTCCCCTGCTGCTGTGAAGAGACCAGACCCTTAACTTGGGAAGGCACATGATTAAAATAAGTCTGGCTCAGTGATCTTGGCAGCATCACCAATGTCCTCTCATAAGCATGACATTATGTCAGCAGTTTGAAATTCAGTTGATTCTAATGAAAATAATACAGACCCCACCCCCATATAAGGCAAGATAGAATAATAACAATCCTCATTTTTGATACAGCAACTTTCACATTGGATGGATTCCTCAAAGTGCTTCACAGGATTTTATTGTATTGTCTCTGTATGACATACCGAACTCAGCAGCCAATTTTCATTGTCCCACAAATAGCCATTGCCAGTTCATAATTTTATTTGAGCCATAGAACTATAGAAATTTATAGGATAGTGACCATTTGGCCTATCGCGTCTGTGCTGCCTATTTTCAAGAGCTAACCTATTTGATATTGGCTGGAATTTGGGTGGATGATCTCTATACTGATGTATAGGTGTTAGTCTGGCTTAGCTGATGATGAATAATTGTACTCAGTCTTGCTTCTGAGGCACATGCAGATGCACATGCCCTACATCCAGACTTTGAACTCACAAGTCTAGGCTAATACATCAATGCAGTGCTGGGGAGGATTCTGCATTGTTGGAGGTGCCGTCTTTCCGATGAGTTAAACTGAGCTCCCATTTGCCTGTTCAGGTACGTGATACTAGTCACAAATAGAAGGGTGTTTCTCTCAGTGTCCTGGCCAACAATTGCCCAAATAAACCCACTCTCCTAGTGCACACTCTCATCTCACTGTGCTTGCTGGCCTTCAGTGGCCAGGAATGCAGTATTGACTTTGACTCGCTATACTCTGCTTATGGGATACAAACAATTACAATAGCAGTAGCAGCATTTACAGGCATTTTTCAGAATAGCTAATAAATGCCAGTATTGTAATTACACATAGCTGGAAATTACAGCTTGCCAGACCATTGGTTCAGTTGAACAGAGTTTAGTGTATATTCACCTATTGGTTTAATGGAACTAAATTATGCGACTTGACAAAGTGCTGCCATATTTTAGCCCATTAGTGTTGTTTCTTTTCCTTGAGCAAGGCTACAACTTTACATTTTTGCAGCTATAATATTGTGAATTCTGCTTTTAGTTTAGTGCAGCAAAATCATTGCTATTCATTTGTATATGGGATCACAAAGCCAGCTAGTTGGTTTTGCATTAGTTTCCAATTAGGAAAATGTCAAAAGGCTAAACTCGAGCCTTTCATGAGATGAAGCACATTCCTTCCTTGGGTTACTGTGGGACGCTTATGACTGGAGCCCAATCTTGTGACTGTTTAAAACCACATAATAGAAGAGGAAAGACCTCCCACTTCCAACTGTAAATGGTAAGTAATTAACTACAGTATAGATGATAAACAATTTATAATCTGCTCAATTGATAGTGATATGGGTGATCATGCCCCCTCCCCCCGACCCCAGCTCGGGTCTGAATTGCTGTACACTGTCCAGCACCTTGGGACATCCTCCCAAAGTGAAAGGCACTACACAAATGTAATCTTCTTCTTGTTGTTGGTGAACGCAAGCAGGCCAAAAAGCAGTAGCTTAGTGCATTTGGGAGTGAGCTACAGTTTAGACATCAAGTGGGTGTTTGGTCTTTTTCTTTCGAGATTCAGGCCAAAGCTTGACATGCAAAGATGCCAGTTGGCAGAATCAGTTGAAAGTGACGATAAAAGGCCTTTTATGCCAGAACTTTGCTGAAAAGGGTAGGGGAGAGTGAGAACAGTGAGGTCAATTAAGCTGTAGATTCAGTATTTATCATGAGGCACATCCATGAAGCCAACTACCCAGCATTGGACGTGTAGGTCAGCACTGGAGCTCGCTAAGTCCTGCACGGGGATCACTTTAAGATTCCCACTGGTTTGTGGGAATCTTCTGACTTGGAGGCAAGGGTGCTGAGTCAGTTAACCTCAAATTCACCCTTACAACACTATTTTCTCCTTAATTAAAGAAGACTGTAGCTTGGATTTTCTTAACACATGATCAACTCAATCCATGACTGTTTGTGGTACGCTGCTGTGCACAATTGGCTGCTGCATTTCACCCACAAAATGTACAATCAATTCACTTTACAGTATATTCCGTGAAGAGCTTTGAGACATCTTGAAGATGTGATGAGGTTCCATATCAACTTATCATCATTCTCACCACCTACAATGAAATTCATAATCACATTAATAAAGGGTTTCACCACACATGTGGGTGGAACTCTCTGTGGTTGGTTTAGATTTTTTTTTCAGCATGGTGTTGGGTTTCTGTGTATTTCACACACCCAGCTGATTTAACTCCCCCCCCCCCCCCCTCCCCACACACACACACACACACACACAGACACATAATCTGACTTTTTGGAAAAATGGTTCCTCTCTCAAGAGCTTCTCAGTCGAATTTAGCCGCCAACATTTTCAAGAAATATTTGCTGGAGCCAAGATTTTGAATCCCAGCCACAAAGCACATCTTTTTTTACTTTACCTTTTAGGCCGGTATTTTATGAAGAAGTGCGAAATACTTTCTGTGACCTGATCCACGTATATTTTATGTCAAATATCCTGTTGGTACCTGGCATTAAATAACTCCATGGCTTTGTTTTTATCTTCAGAAATGCATCACCATGCTTAAGAGTATCCAAAGCAGGCTGAGTTCCCAATATGTATGTCACATACATTCAAAACTTTCCCTATGTCTGGAATGGGATGCACACAATCTCTTTGGAGGGACGTAACAACAACAACAAGATTGCATTTATCGAGTGCCTTTCACGTCGGGAGGACATCCCTGGACAGTTGGGTCGGGACCCGAGCAGGGGGGAAATGGTCAGGGTGAGGGGAGGGAAGGGAGGGAGCGAGGAGGGAAGGGAGGGAGCGAGGAGGGTGTAGAGAGTCGAGAGGGGAGCTGAAGGCATGGTTGAAGAGAAATGTCTTGAGACCAGCCTTGAAGGAGGAAAGGGAGGAAGCAAGGCAAAGGCACTGGGGGATGGAGTTCCAGAGCCTAGGGGCTGAGAGGCTGAAAGCCCGGCCACCGATGGTAGGGCGGTTAGGGCGGGGGATGTGGAGCAGACCGGAGCCAGAGGAACGGAGGGTACAGGCAGGCACGTGGGGGGATAGTAGTAGGTCGATGCACCCTCCTTACCTCAAAGCATTTCACAGGATTTACTGTAAAGGGTAATGACTGTACATTTGGCAGGTGAAGATATATATGTAAGATATTTCACATTATTTTTAACTCTCAGCCTTGGGCTATGGTATTGATACAGTGTCACTTTGCACAGTGGTCACATTTCTGATGATTGTCAGCAGACATGTGCGGTCTTTCCTGCAGGAGGCATGGTTTAAATCCCAAATTGCTTTTCCCAGCAGTCAAGCAACCAGTAACTCCGTTGCTGTTGATCATTAACAGGGCGTTTACACTGTCATATGGATCTAGTTTGCGTGAAGCTGTCAGTTTTCCTTTGGAAAACCTTATCTAACAGGGCGACTAAGGATATTTGGCTGGACTTTCCTTGCTTGGGTTGATTACTGTGTGAGTGCGCTACATGTAGGTTTGTAAAGAAAACCTCCATAATCCTTTTCAAGTGTGAGCCCAATAACCAGCAAACCATTTTCTGTTTAATGAAAATGCCCTGCAGGGCCTTGTAAATGTGAGATATGCGTCTGGATCAGTGAATGAGTCTGAGCACACTGACGGTTTTGGAGCAGTTGTTGAGAAATGCAGCTGTTTGGAGCGATCTATTCGTGCATTTATACAGTACTTGTGCCGCAGACTGTACCTTCAGCTTGCAGAATGTGAGTTGTTCAGGCTAAAGGGGAAAAGGTGGCGACAAATGAGCATCATCTCCAGTGAGCAAAATGCAGAGGAGCTGCTAGCTTAATTCAAGCTATTTGTCCCCCTCCAACTAAAATAACAAAACTGAGTTGTGCTGATGTCTTTGTTATACTGCATACTGTGACGTGATCGATTTTTCCATTACTGGCACTGTTATCTTCTGTTTTACAGGAAACAGCAGCAAGTTTGAGTTGACCCCTGTCACAGCAGTGAGCATTCATTTGTTGAATAGTGATGGAAGTGAAATCCAAGTGAATGGCCCCATCTATGTGACAGTTCCATTGCCAGCCAACAGCCCGTTGAAGCAAGGTGATGCTCTTCCAGCATGGAAGTTTGATAAGAAAATTGGTAAGCAGTCCTGAGAATTCCTGCAAAAAAGTAAAATCTTGGAAAAGAGGTCAAGCTTTTGGTCTGGTCTGTGAGTGACTGTAATTATACTGAGAATTGCATGTTCTTTCTTCACTGTTTGAGATTTGTTAACTTTATTTGGTTAAAAACAGCAGAAACGTTATTAATATTATTATAAACATAATGCCGAGAGTGTATCCTTTCCCAGTGGAAATGTGGAACAATACAGAGGAACCCTGTTGTGATGTGTCGTTTTGGGTCCATAAACCTAGACTTCACGTCATTACTAGGCCATTTTATGCCAGGTTACATTATCCAAGTTACAATGACTGACACTTTAGCCAGTTGGCCCACAAAATATACAGTCAATTCACTTTACAGTATATTCTGTGAAATGCTTTGGGGCATCTACAAGAAGTGATAAGGCGCTATATATATAGTGAAGTCATGTAGCTCAGTGGATAGAGCACTTGCCTCACAAGCAAGAGACCTGGGTTCGATTCCCAGCAGGGTCAAACCCTGGGCAAGTTTCCTTACTCAACACACCTGATGATAATCCCTCAAGAAAAAAATAATAATAATTTCGTCACTCGGTCCATGACTGTTTTTGGGACTCTGCTGTGCACAATTGGCTGCCATGTTTCGCCCACAAATATACAGTCAATTCACTTTACAGTATATTCTGTGAAGCGCTTTGAGACGTCTAGAAGATGTGATAAGGCACTATATCAAAGGCAAGGATTATTATTATTTCCTGCAGGCTGCGCATGCATGCAACGTGGAAGAAGTAGGGGTGATGGTATTTCCTGAAAATTGGCCTCCGTCAATGACGCTTCTTGTATGCTGTGTAGGTACGCTGTCTTCCCGAGTGACAAAATGGCCAACTTTCCTGTCATCTCCCGGGAGCTGCACAAGCACTTCCTGCACGTATCATGCATGAGCAGGTTGCAGGAAGTGATATCAGCAGGGAATTGTTTTAGCCCAGGAAGCCATTTTTTGGCCATTTTTTAGCCCAGGAAGCTGACTGGGCGTCAGGCCTTAACTTCCACCTGATCTTACCCTGTAAGAGCATTTTGTCTTAAAATTTAAGACCATACAGAATTGTGGAAAATTCTTAAATTCAGGCTTAAGGAGAGGGGAATAGGAAGGGTGGAGCCTGCTATGGAGAAAAATACCAGCATCTACTAGATAGGCTGAATTGTCTAGTTTTGTTTTGTATAATATTCTCCAGTGTAACTCATCTGTTTCTAACTACACTACCTATGTCGTTACATGTCAATACCCCTAATGCTCTACCTCTAATACTCCCGCTTGGTGGACCATCCCAAACCTCTTATCACTCTTTGGATTGAAAAAATATTTTTGCTATTTTAAATGTGCATTCCCTTGTGTGCCTTTTTTTGGTTTAATCTGAGGCAGTATTTCTGGATTACTGTAACTGGATCTTCTTTCGACCACTCTCTTTGTGAACTAATTTAATCTCAGCCTCCCTAGTCTTTCCTCCCAGCTACACTCCTTTTCACTTGGGATCAGTCTTGTTGCTGGTCTCTGTGCCCTCTCAAGTGGCCACTGCCATTTCCCAATGTTTCCAGTTTAGTTCTTACAATTGGTTTTGTCTCTCAATTTCCAATTTTTTTTCAAAATTGTGTGCTATTAGCAATAATAAGATGTCCCACCTGACCTTGAACAGGCATTTGCTGAATTACTTAAGTCTGCTGTCATTAGGTGGTGGAAACACGGGAGGTGAAGTTACCAGCCTCCTGCCCAAGGCTGCCTGTCACTGGAGCTCCCCTGGTACTTTGGATATCGAATGCTTTGAGTTGTGCTGCAGTCACAGATAGAGCATCTAATTACAGTATACAGCAGGATCCTCCATCTGGGGGAGAAGGAGGGGCGAACGAATGTGACTCTGTCTGTTTCTTCCTGGTTAGTCGCCATGGCATCACTGGTGATTGAGTAGAATTGCACAGCTTAGATATACATCGTCTGTCTCTCTACTTTCTGAAGGAGGAGACCATTTGATCATTGTAACAAAAAGGCATGAATCTAAGTTTAAAATAATACATTTTTCTATACAATTTTAAAATGTAACGGATCTTTTCCCAAACCCAATCACTGATTGGATTGGCTTCCTGTAAAAGACAATATCTGGGTGAGGAATTCTCTCTGAGTGTCTGTGATTACAAATTCACCAATCCTAGGTTTCTAAAATGCTAAGTGCTGAACATTGTAACTGAGTGTGAAGAAGGTAAGAAACCACTAGATATTTGTTATTGATGTTTCAGCTGAATAAAGTATGGAAGTGGGGAAGCTTCATGGATTGCTAAAGATTTGAACACCTTTGACCTGGAATGGGTAGTTTACTTGCATTGTGCTGTTGGTTAGGGGCTTGGTTGATGTATTTCAGTGTCTCTCTATCCAATCTGCTTCTTGTCATCTTGAGAAGCTATTATCATGCCGTCAGCCATGTAAAGTCATTACCCTGTAATTATAATAACAATCTGCTTTTGATGTAGTGCCAGCAATCTCTCAACCGTACTTCACAATAATTACTGTTAACTGTAGTGACTGTGTATTTGTAGGCCAATGTGGTAGCTAGAATGTGTAATTGTGGTGTGTGGAGCCAGTGTTACATGCAACTCAGTGGGCCAGGTGTAACACGTTGTTTCTGTGTTGTACACTTGAGGGTTTTTCAGTGTACCGTGACATCCGATTACTCTGATACAGCATGGTGGTACTTTGTTTAATTTTAGCTGCTTTGTAAAATAATTTGAGGTTTACACTGGGGAATTTCTTTGAGAATTGCTTTGCTTTTTCAGTTTAGCCCTTTCGAAATGATAGCTGAATCTCCTCTATCGCATTATTGCTGTTACGTGGGGATTAGTTTATGGCTGTTGTGGAGGCTTCAAGCATCTCCATTTACATTCAGAAATGTGGCCGTCTCTCAGCTTTGCTTTTCTATGTGCTTGGAGCCAGTTATGTCATTGCGTGTGTGATTATGATACTGTAATGAACTGGACGAGTGACAGAACAACTAGCAGAGGGTAAGGGTTGAGCTGAACATCGATGGTCTTTTCCGAGGCCTCTTTTTCAGGCCTTCAATCACAGTGGATTTGTTTTCAGTCTACCTTAAAACCTACCTCTTCAACCACAATTATGATCACCTCCTTCTCTCCCCACCCCAGGCTTTGGGTCTGTCCCACCACTGCAAAAAGTGCTGCGAGATGTTATTCCGCATGAAGGGCGTTATATAAATGGAAGTTGTTGTGGTTTACTTCGGTATTCTCCACCAATATTCCCCCAAATAAAATTGGTCATTCACTCCATGGCTGTTTAAAGGACATTATTGTGTGCTAATGGGCTGCCACGTTCACCTAAGAAACAGTCTCTACACTTTATAATATATCTTGTGAAGCACTTTGAGACGTCTTCTGATGTTAAAGGAGCTATATCAAATGCAAGGATTATTATTCCTATTATTATAAATAATATTAATCCTTGCATTTGATATAGCGCTTTTCACGTCGGGAGGATGTCCCAAAGCGCTTCACAGAACACACTGTAAAGTGAATTGACTGTATATTTGTGGGCAAACGCGGCAGCCAATTGCGCACAGCAATGTCCCACAAACAGTCGTAGATTGAAAATGACCAATTTATTATTGTTTTGTTTTGGAGGGATTATTATTAGGCGTGTGGAGTAAGGAAACTTGCCCAAGGTTTCGCCCTGCCTGGAATTGAACCCAGGTGTCTCGCTTGCAAAGCGAGTGCTCTAATCACTGAGCTACAGGACTCCACAAAAGGTGGTGGCCCTCACAGGTAAATGTGGCAGATGCAAATTCCACTGAGCTTGATCTTTCTGCCTCTCTTCCCCCATTCTCTTTACAAAGCTCTATGCCAGGCACTATACCAAATGCAAAGATTATTATTATTTGCAAATCGATCTATAAAAAAATGCCCACTTGTGGTCAACCTCGATCATCCAGCTTGAATTTGGCAAGGCTACACATGCTGTGCACATGCTTCTAAAAGATGTTTATGTTTCACTTCCATATTTGTTAACGTTTTACATTTTTAGCAAATGCAGTGCACCGTTGCTGTCGTGTGCTTCTTGTGAGCGGCCCAGATAGCATATTGTTTTGAGTATTCAATTAATCACGTGTACAATCCTCACATAAACTGCTTTCCTACAGAGTCGCAACAGGACTATCCTCCGCCCCACTGAGACCCTGTTAGTTTTTAGAAATGTTTTTTCTTAAAAGAGCCCCAAAAAACCTGACAGAACCAATGCCCAGTTAACGTACTGTTAAACATGGCTGCTTCCCTTTGTGCTCTTCCATTAATGGCTACCACTGTCTAAAAAGGTATCTCCAACTGTGCCTAGAGTCATGCTCTGTGCAAATTGTTGTGAAAACATTTGACTGCACTTTTGCTCTTCTCCTACCCAGCTCAGGGTTCCACTTATTCTCCGTAATTCTATGTGAAAGGCGCTATTTTAGCGCAAGTTGTTTGTTGTTCGCATACTTACTTCATAAATTTTCATCCCCTCTCTACATTTGGGTAGTGTGTTTTTGCCTTGGTGTCTCTTTCCCTGGCCCCTTCTCCAACTTCAGCAGTCAGTCTGAGCTGCCAACTTTCCTTCTTGAGCTGCCAGACTTAAGGTGAGACTGAGTGACTCCAGCACTGATCGCGTGCTGTTGAACTGAATTTGGGATACATCCTCTTGAAATCTGTAAAGTGCAGGAAAGGTCAAGTCCAAAGTGTGTTTTCAGGCACCACACTGCAAAAATAGTACACATACACTTCATGCTGAGGGCAATCATTTTCTACATTAAAGTCGTTAACTATAAACGTACAGTTAAAAAAAGATTCTTACATCTGTTATAGCGACTTTCACATCAGGAGGAAGTTTCAAAGAGATGACGATTTAGTGGAGTAAAGCAACTTTCTTGTTGAGTTTCATCAGACATCAACTGAGGGCTAAAAATCAAGCGATATTGT